AGCAGGGATTTCCTTAGTGCACACAAAATCTAAACTGCAAGGTGGTGGCTACATGAATAAGTATCAAATTCACCAAAGCCATACTTGATAGTATTCAAATAAGAGCTTAGCATAAGCTATAAAGGTGTCATAAAAGGTGCACAGGCAAGTCAAAGATCCAGAGATCAGGTGAAGAAGTGTCTTCCAGACAGCAGTAGTAGTCAGAAAAATTCACCAGTATCTGTAGCAGTATTTAAGGGGCATGCGTGGACCCAGAGACACAGCCTTATCATCTTGTACAATTGCTGACAATTCAAAACATTCATCAAAGGGTATGTCTTTATTAACAGACTGGGGAGCACTTTTGCATCCTCAGCTGGAGTTCGCAGCTAGCCCCATTGTCCTGATGGAGGAAGGAAACATAGGTAGGAGAGAAGACTCAGCATGCTTCAACAGGTCTCTGATCTGAAGACAGGAGACATATCAAAGGATAAGAAGCAAGCTTACAGCACTGTGCCCTGTTGAGAAGCCAGAAAATAACATCTATTTCCTCAAATTTTGTATCGGCCTTTTAAACTCTTGGCTAACGAAACATACACCTCCAATAACATCCAATTTTCTGCTATTTAGCTGTGGAGCACAGATGCAGCAAATAGTGAGAGACAAAGCAGAATAATTTGTTAAATAATTCAGCTAAGCATGGTGAGATAAGTAGCTTCTCACTAAATGAAATTCACTATAGCAAGAGGGCCTTACAGATAACACAACACCTGCATGAAATACCTGGAGAAACTCCATGTAGAAAATTTCAAAATCTCCCATGAAACTGTAAAAATTGTCTTGTGCAAACTCTTGTGTGTTTTACATTTTATTTGTTATACTGAATTTATTTTATTGCTGGGGAGGGAAAAGAAAACCAGTTATTAAAAACATTTGAGTTCAGTCCAACTTTTTTTATAATTGTATTTTGTCAACAGATGGGGGGATATCTATCCACTGAGCATATAATAGGTTTATCACTTCTCAGATGGAACTGCTGCCCACTCTCTAAGGTCAGATTGTTCTCTCAGCTATAACACTATAAAATCCACAATAACTACATTGAAATTCATAAATATTTCTTTATGATATTTTAAATGAAACTAAATTCTATAAAATTAGTGTATTTGTGTTACTGTCTAAGTGCTACCCGGTAATGAAGAAGTAGTATCACCAAAGCAGAACTGAGATCCTGAATGGCTGTCAATATTTATTCTTAGCTAATGCTGATACACAAGTGTATAAACTGACTAAATGCAATATATCACAATTTCTAAGGTTGATTTGAATTATAGTAGTGACATTTTATTACACAGATTGAGCTGACTGGCTTTTAAATTTTTATGTAGAGTTTGTTTTGAAATCGAGGTCATTTCTGTGGCTGTACATTAGTACGGCAGCTTGGCTTTTCTCCCTTCACTGTTTCCTCAGGCCATAGCCGAAGAATATACTTTTTTTTTTGTTTGATATTGCCAACTTTGAATTTATAGACGCACAGCTCACACCACCAGTTGCCAGAGGCACTCATAAACCCTCTCTCCTAGCACAAACTATCAATATATATCCCAATCATGAGCGCACACTGAAAGCAATGGCTCTTTGTTTCCCTCTGGCTTTGAAGTGCCATTGCTGGCCACACAGGATTTGGATAAGAGGAAAGCAGTGATAGTTAGTGTACCCTGACAGGCTGCCTCAGCAATTTCAACCTGCTGATATACCATACCATCAAACAGCCCTACTAGGAGCCTCTCTACAGAGAAACTCTAGCCAGAAACCGTATTTGGTCTGAATGTGATCAGAAAGACTCAGAGTCAGTGTCTATCTCAGCGTTCAGAAGGGGAGAGGTGAATTTGAAGCTCCCCCTCCTCCTCCACTTAATCAGAACGTTATGGGCAACACGAAATCTCTTCTCCAAATCGCACTTTTTCGGAAAAGTCTAGTAGAAACATCTTTCCAAACTGAGTTTTCACCAGAGAAAGGAAGCCCAGAGTTGTGTCTGGAAGGTGCTAATATGGGATATGAGTGAGTCCTTAATTCAGAATGGAGTTTTAAAGGTCAAGATCACTTTGAGGAGGGCTGAGCAGGGTCTGACTTCTGGGCCAGTACTTCTCTGCATACTTCTGCACATACATAGGTATGAAAAGAGTTTGCCTTTCAAAAAAAAAGAAAATTCAAAAAGAGGCTCTTATTGCATTTCCGTGGTAACAAAAAAACACTCCTAAACCACAGAAGTTATTTAAAAAGAAAAAAAAAAAGGTAGTCCTTTATTCAAATCTACCATGCAAAGACCTTTGCAACATCAGCGAGAGTTCAAATAGGCTGCAAAATGGGCACTGCAGAGGGAAGGTTTTTAATGAAGGCATAAAAAGAGAATGGATGCTAAGCATGACGAACATCTGCCCAAGAACAAAGCAGGTGAAAACCATCTTCATCTGCCCAGGCCTATGAAAGCTGCCTGGGCCCTTTCTGCCATAGAAACAGGACACTAAAGGCTCAGCTTTCACCATTGCTAAAGATATGGCCACAAATGTGGAAAAATACTTGAGGCTGTATAATTTAGGAGATCATAAAACCAGTAGGAGAGTTTGAGAATTATTTAGATTTATGAGCTGATGGAAGTTATTCAGACATCCACACGGTCAGAATCTCTTCCATGAAGTCAAACTGCTTAAAGATCAAAGTATCTGTATCAACATTATCACCAGGCTTCAAAAAAAAAGCCACGACATACAACAGATGCCCCCTCTGTCTGCCCTCAAATTGTCAAGAGTTAGCAATTTTCGGTGCTGTTGGGCAGGGCACACACAACATACACATGTAACCTAGAAGGGAGAGGCCTGGCGGTGAAAGGACACAAATATTGTTTACTAAGCATTTGGATGTAACACTAAAAATGACCAAAATTTATACATGCCCTTGCTGCCTTTTGTTCTTTATCTATAATTTTCATGCTATGCATATCATTGTATGTGGAATCTCTGGATGTTAAGAAGCATGCACGTTTCCAACAGGGGTGGTGACCAACAAGCATTTCTCAGCTGATGCTGAAAATGAAGTAAACTACTAATATGCCGTTAAAGAAAGTGTGACCACCATGGTTTATATTAGGAAATGACACTCCTGTAAATTACACCGCTTCAAATGAACCTCCATAACTTTGTGGCAGTCACACAAATACATATTGCTTTCTTCTCTACTGTGGCTGTTTATTTGTCCGTGTTCTGATGCCAAAGTTCCCAAAATAGTGATTAACTTGAGGGGAAACTAGTAATCCATAGTAAATCCTGTACCAAACTATTCACATTTCTTTTTCAATTTATAAGTAATGTAAGGTCTCTAAAATTCAGTGGTCTTTAACATTCTAAAAGCTGCTATTTCATATACAGGGAGAACCTCAAATGTGTATACAACCTTTGCCTTTTTAAAATAATCTGTTGTGCAGAAAAGTTTGGTTGAAAATAAAAGCTGTTACTCACAACTCAGTGCTCTCCCCATAGGCTGTAGTGCTCCACTGACTCCAGAGGAAAGAAGAGACAGGGCTCTTGTGGCAGAGAGGTTTGCTGAAAGGTAGCAAGTGATAAGCTGTGCTTCAAAGACCAGATCCACAAAAGCAAATATGACTAAACTGTGAATCTGTTCTTCACTACTGCTGTTATGCAAAAGCAAATACTCAGTATTTACAGCCCTGCACACTTGCCACTGCCATTCTCAAACCTGTAGGTGTCAGAGCTCTTGTAGCATCTAAGTTTCCACTGCTGAAGCACTCCTAGCGCTTGCATGTCTGCTGTTGTGTGTACAAACAACTGCCTCCACCCAAACAGTGCTGAGCTTCATAGCATATACTTGAGTCCTAAACCCAATCTGATTCCCAAACTAGGAAGGAAAAAGTCTGTTTCAGTAGTAAAGATCGAGGGACTAGAAAAATTCAGACACTCTCCCCTCCAGCAACCCAACTCCCACACTCAAAATATGGTCAAACAAGACCGTAGGTTCTTTGTCTGAGGAGTCAGACAGCTTATCCCAAGCATGGAAGATCATAGAATCACAGAATGGCTGAGGCTGGAAGGGACCTCTGGAGATCATCTAGTCCAACCCTGCTCATGTAGGGTCACCTACAACAGGTTGCCCTGGGTTGTGTCCAGACAGCTTTTGGATATCTCCAGGGAAGGAGATTCCACAACCTCTCTGGGCAAC